CTGAAGGGAGGCATCCCGGGGCTGGGGTCACCCAGGGTGGGGGGCAAAGCTGGGCTCTGCTGGGGCTCAGCCACAGAGAGGTGAATAAGCTGGGGGCACTGGGATTGGGAGACACCGCGACTGGGGTGCGTGGCAGGTCCCTGGGCTGAGGGCAGCAGGGAGTGGCACGGGGATGGGGGATCCCAGGATGGAGAACTCCCAAAGCTGATGGGGTGGTGGTGCTTGTGGGGGCCCATGGCTGGGGACGTCGGGGTACCTGGAGGGGTCCCAGGGCTGGAGACACTGTGGGGACAGAGAGAAATGCGGGGTCCTAGGGCACTGGGCCGGGGGCCCTGCACCCTCCACCTGGCACTGCCCTGGCAGCTGCTGCACTGATGCAGGCGTGGTACCGGGGTCAGTGGCTCCTTTGGCAGTGCCTGCCCTGCCACCAGTGTAGAGGAGATCACGCTGCTGGGGCAGCCCCTCGGTGCCTGGGGCTGCCTGGGCAAGGGGGTCCAGCTCAACAGGCACAAGAGCCCACTGGCATGGTGCATATGAGTACGCAGGGCTGGGACAGACAAATCCCAGTGCCCATCTTCCGCCGGGTGCCCAGCAGGTCCAAGGGGTGCCTGCAGCAGGCCAGGGTGCGGGTCCATGACAGGGGCAGCACGGGACACTGGCGTCCACTGGTGCCCAGGGCTGGGAGCATACGAAGCTCCCATTCCTTTCATCATCGCTTGCCTGGATGAGTCAACACCACACACGTCGTGATTGACAAGGGAAAACCTTCCCCCTGGGGTCAGATCTGTCAGCTTCCAGAAAAGCAGAAGGTGTTCCCCTCCCGATAGCCTCCTGGCTGGAGGTGGCCAGGATACAGACAATTTGGGACAAGGGGCAGGAGAGGAGCCTGGGGCTCTGCAGCTTCTCGGTCTGCCAGGATGGAGGACTATGGTGGCTTAACTGTGGCTGGACACCAGGTGCCCACCAAGCTGCTCTATCACTCCCCTCCTCAGCTGGACAGGGGGAGAGAAAATATAAACAAAGCCTCGTGGGTTGAGATAAGGACAGGGAGACATCACTCACCAATTACTGTCACAGGCAAAACAGACTCAACATGGGGAAAAATCAATTTAATTTATTAACTATCAAATCAGGGTAGGGTAATGAGAAACAAAATAAAATCTTAAGAACACCTTCCCCTCACCCCTTACTTCTTCCCAGGCTCAACTTCACTCCTGATTTTCTCTACCTCCTCCCCTCAGGTGGCACATGGGGACAGGGAATGGGGGCTGCGGTCGGTTCATCACACAATGTCTCTGCCGCTCCTTCCTCCTCACTGGGAGGACTCCTCACACTCTTCTCCTGCTCCAGTGTGGGGTCCCTCCCACGGGAGACAGTTCTCCACGAGTTTCTCCAGCATGAGTCCTTCCTATGGGCTGCAGTTCTTCACAAACTGCTCCAGCATGGGTCCCCCATGGGGTCACGAGTCCTGCCAGCAAACCTGCTCCGGCATGGGCTCCTTGCTCCACAGGTCCTACCAGGAGGCTGCTCCAGCGCGGGCTTCCCACGGGGTCACAGCCTCCTCCGGACAGCCCCCCTACTCTGGGGTCCTCCCCAGGATGCAGGTGGGGATCTGCTCCCCTCCCCATAGGCCCCCATGGCTGCAGGGACAGCCTGCCCTACCATGGTCTGCCCCAGGGCTGAAGGGAAAACTCTGCTCCAGCGCCTGGAGCACCTCCTCCCCCTCCTTCTTCACTGACCTTGGTGTCTGCAGAGTTGTTTCTCTTCTCTCACTTTCTCCGCTGCTGTTTTCATAGCAGTTTTTTTTCCCCTTCTTAACTATGTTATCCCAGAGGTGCTGCCACCATCGCTGGTGGGTCAGACAGCTGCAGGTGCCCCTGGGAGCCGTCTGGCATTGGCTCTGATAGACACAGGGAAAGCTTCTGGCAGCTTCTCACAGCAGACAGCCCTGCAGCCCCCCCACTAGCAAAATCTTGCCATGCAAACCCAGTACAGAGAGAAACTTTAGGGCTGGTAGGTAGGAGAAGGATGGGGGCTGTTATCACCCTGTCCCACAGCAAACACCCACAGGACAAAAGAAGTGCTGAAACATGCCCATGGAGCTTGGACCAGCAATAACAGATGGGGCTGGAGGTTAAACAAGAGATGAGAACCCAGCAAGAGCCATGAGCTGAGGAAGCAGAGGCTGTGGCAGTATCCAGTTGGCAGGTGGCAGTGCCACCAAGCACTGGGGACAGGGACCATGGTTGCCACTCATGCCTCGCTGCTCTCAGAAGGGGGACTTTGCCCCAGCTTTGTAAACACAGGGCACCACACTCAGGGACAGGCAGGTCTGCCAGCAGACACCTTCCCAAAATAACTCTGGCAGCCAAATGCCTTGGCCACAGTGACAAACATCCTGGAGAGACCCAGCTCGTTAGGCCCCCCCAGCCCCCCAGGAGCTTCCCCATATGAAGGGATGTGGGGCATCTTTTGTGCCTCAGCTGCAGCTGCCTGCAGCCACATCTGGTCCCCCTTCCCCAGGGCAGGTCTGTGCTCTAGGGGAGCCTCTTCTTCCAGCTCTGGCTTGAGCTAGGTGGGGTTTACCCCCTGCACACAGCAGGGAGTAGCACCCACCCCTCCACACACTGCAAGCGCAATGGTGGCTGCATGGTGACACAATCTAACACAGCCTGTCCCGGGGGGCTCCTGCTGCACCCCAGGAATCGACCAATAACAGGTCAAGATGGTCTTTAGCAAAATCCATCAATTTATTTATTTACACAGTCAGCAATAAATAGAGGAAAGCCAGGCAGCAGGGGTGCTGAGAGCGGGACTGACCCCTCTAGGAATGGGGACAGGCTAGGACCCCAGCAGAGCCTCAGCTGCATGGGACAGCAAGGGTGTGAGAAGGCAGAGGGACACCACGACAGGGATCTGACCCCTGGGATAGGGTGAGACCTGAGTCCTGCCAGAGGGCAAGACAAGGGTAGCAGAGGAAGCAGCAGGCAGAGCCCAGCATAGGCTTAGGTCCCTCCAGTTTTCACAGCCCCCCAGAGCAGAACTGCAGGGGAGAAGGGTTCCCCCCC